TCACTTGGCTTACATACCACCGTAGCGTCACTTGGCTTACATACCACCGTAGCGTCACTTGGCTTACATACCACCGTAGCGTCACTTGGCTTACATACCACCGTAGCGTCACTTGGCTTACATACCACCGTAGCGTCACTTGACTTACATACCACCGTAGCATCACTTGGCTTACATACCACCGTCGCGTCACTTGGCTTACATACCACCGTAGCGTCACTTGGCTTACATACCACCGTAGCGTCCCTTGGCTTACAGACTACCGTAATATTAGTTGGCTTAAATACCACCGTAGCATGGTTTAAGTATGAGTGTAACATAAAGCCACTGTTCTAAGTAATTCATTATCGTTGCCTTCTTCGATAAAAAAAAATCTAAATTTTATGGTATTTATTTGCATTGATATATACATTACGCTCTTCAAAAACTCTGTAGACTCTATCACAAGACTTGGTTTGTTCACGGGACATCCATCACCTCGGAGACACCATGGCGCCTCTTATTGTTACAGACCCCCCTCCCCACCCCCATTTTCCTGCTAACCTACAATCAGAGGACATCCATGTCTAATGTCTGCTAACCACCATCACAACAGGCCAGGTAAGGTTCAACTAAATTGTAATATAATATTGGAGTTAGTTTCGGTTGTTATTTGTTATATTTGTTAGAGGTAAAAATTGTGCAACGATTAATTTGTGTTGCGAGTCTCAACATTTTGTTCCTACTTTCCATCCGAGTCACGAAATTTGTATTAAAGCATTGTTTGTTTTTTCAGCTTTGAATAAAAAAAATATTTAAAAAATAGCAGGAAACTCTATGTACCATGTCTATAAATGCGGCTAGTTCAAATTTAGAAAAAAAAAAAAAAAAAAAAAACTTTTTTTTTTATTTAATAAAAAAAAAAAAAAAAAAAAAAAAAGCTTTTTTTTTTATTTAACAGAAAAAGTTGACCTTTAAACTTAGTTTAAATCTATTCTTAGATATTAAGATAAATTGTAATTTATTTCCAATATTTTGTGACGCGCGGTGTAAGAAAAATAAAATAAAATATTTTGTTTGAGTAAAAAGCTCAGAGTGAAATTCTTCTGATGCTGGAATAATTTTTACCTAAGGATGGAAGCAAAGAATTTCTAAACACCTGTACTTAGTAAAACATGTGAAGGGAAATTATAAGGTAATATATGAAGTTAAGGTTTTTAAACGGTAATGACACCCATTGGTTCCAGATCGTTGGAATGTTACTGCTGCACTATTTTTAAACTGTTTCATGTTTAAATATAAGTTCATATCATGGCTATTGAATGTTCTGTAAATATGTTAGATGTCATGGTATGTTCAATGTTCTGTACCTTTGCTAGATGTTATGGGACAAGGGATGTTCTTTGACGTATGTTACATGCCATGGGATATTGGATGTTCTTTGACATATGTTACATGTCATGGGATATTGGATGTTTTTTGACATATGTTACATGTCATTGGATATTGGATGTTCTTTGATATATGTTACATGTCATTGGATATTGGATGTTCTTTGATATATGTTAATGTCATGGGATATTGGATGTTCTTTGACATATGCTACATGTCATGGGATATTGGATGTTCTTTAGCATATGTTACATGTCATGGGATATTGGATGTTCCTTGACATATGTTACATGTCATGGAACATTGGATGTTCTTTGACATTTGTTACATGCAATGTGTTGGTATTTGTATCGCAGTTTCATTGAAGCATTCAAGTGAGTGCTTACGTATAAGCACTGATTATGTGGACGTGCTTGCAAGAACCGAGTGCCCAACCAGTTCAAGGACTAATAGTGGACTGTTGACCACTTCTGATAAGGACAACCCTTCAATTTCACTGGTGTCAACAGTTCACCAAAAAAAAAAATGGCAAACAACTACACCATATCACACTACGATACAATACACAGGAATTAAAAAGTTCGTTTAAAGCCAATGAATTTTTCAGTTTTTATTTTATTTTTAACTTTTAAAATTTAGGAACAGAAATTAATAATTTCATTTCAGGCGCTGTTTACATTGTGATATATAGTTAAGTTACGAAACTCAAAACAATTATTGTCATTCTAAATTATCACTTAATACAGTTTATTATTTTTTTTGTATAGATGTAAAATCTTCATAGTCCTAGATGGCTGATACATAACAGAGTGTGTCAATTCCATCTGGAAAGAAAGAAAGAAATATTAAGGTCGTTCGTGATATGTTAAAATGGGCTGACTGGGTTACTGAGAGGGTTTGACATTATTTATAGCAGACGATAGGTCGGGGGTATTAGGAGGGGACCTTATGCATCTCTCGATTTGCGACCCCGAAACAGCCTCTTAGATAATTTACGATCTCTTGAGCTTATTATACATTTAAGGACTTGTACCACAGGTAATGACTTGTAGCAAAATTTAGGACTTGTACCACAGGTTAGGAGTTGTGCCACAGGTTAGGAGTTGTACCACATGTTAGGAGTTGTACCATCGGTCAGGAGCTGCACCACATGTTAGGAGCTGTATCACAGGTTAGGAGTTGTACCACAGGTAAAGAGTTGTACCACAGGTAAGGACTTGTACCACAGGTAAGAAGTGTACCACAGGTAAAGACTTGTACCACAGGTTAGGAGTTGTACCACAGGTAAAGACTTGTACCACAGGTAAGGAGTTGTACCAAAGGTAAAGACTTGTACCATAGGTAAGGGCTTGTACCACAGGTAAGGAGTTGTACGACAGGTAAGGAGTTATACTACAGGTAAAGACTTGCACCATAGGTAAGGAGTGCACCACAGGTAAAGACTTGTAACACAGATTAGGAGTTGTAACACAGGTAAAGACATGTACCACAGGTAAAGACTTGTACCACAGGTAAAGACTTGTGCCACAGGTAAGAAGTGTACCACAGGTAAAGGCTTGTACCCCTTGTTAGGACTTGTACCACAAGTCCTGCCCAAAAAGTCCTATTCCCCTTGAAGTGTAAACTATTTTTGTATTAGTTTGTCCCCAGCTTTCAATGAAGTACAGCACATTTCTCTCCCGTCAATTGATAAGCCTTAAATAAACACTTCAAACCACTGATCACCGTGACGTACTCACCAGATGGAGGCAGAGTGGACTAACTGCGTTGTGGCTTCTGGAATACATAAAAACACAATCGTGTCATATTTCAGCCGAACGCAATCATGTCACATTTCAGCCGAACGCAATCATGTCGCATTTCAGGGTAAGACAATCATTTTATTTATTTCAACGTTAATGTTAAAAAAAAAAAATGGAAACGCGACATAGTTATTTATTAAAAAAAAAGATATCGGCCATACGATTAAAAAAACAAAAGAACTTTCATTGGTAATCGATTGGCGAGAAATCGAACCTGTCTAATGACAGAATAAATATCATTCACAAAAATTTAAAAAAAAAAAAAACAGAAAAGAAAATACCGAAGAAGACTCAAGTGGTAAGATTTCCTTCAACATTCGCAGTAAAATGTTCAACAACTGCAAGTTTAACAAATACAAACGCCAGCGGCGTACCCACCCAGCTCATGGGTATTTTGGGATTATGGTTCATGTGATTAATATTATGCTTAATATGATAGGGAATATATTTCATGTGACAAGGATTATGTTTTACATGTCTGAATAACTTACCTCATTTTTGGGGCCTTTACCCTCAGGTCTCTGTTAGAAATAAGAAAACCAGTTGTAATACAATCATTAATAAGGGAGAAAAAAGATATGGGGGTAGGGGATAGAGGAAGTGGTAGGAAGGGGAAGTGGTAGGAAATGGAAGTAACGACTAGCAGAGAATCTGAAAGAAACGAAAATAAAAAAAACAAGGACTGGGACTAACAGAAAATAGTTTTTTTAACCTCTTTATCTTTTTAACAAATTTAAACTGATGAAAAAACATCCTGTGTATGAGTGATGAGCTACTTACGTTAACAGGTGCGTTTCCAGATGGTGCGTCAGTTGGTCTTGACTGAAAATGAAAGAGATTGTTGTTGGTTAGCTTTACGTTGATTAAATATAAGCTCATAGACCAGTGTATAAAAGATGGAATTGTAAGCTGCAAAGGAGCGCTTGTAATAAGGATTATTGGTGTGTGTGTGCGTGGGGGGGGGGGGCAATCCATTATCGGAAATAGGAATTATTGACTTTTAAATAAAATACGGGAAAGTAGTTGGACAGAACATTTAAAGTTAACACATTTTTACTGTAATAGAAACACATTGTAGGCTTTTTGGATATCGATGCCTTAACAGTTAGTGAAATAGGGATTAACAAGTAGTGAAATAGAAATTAACAGGTAGTAAATAGAAATGAACACATAGTGAAATAGAGATTAAGAGGTAGTGAAATATAGATTAACAGGTAGTGGGCCCTAATTTATTATATTTTGCGTCTAGTTCCACCTCTGATAATCTGATTATTTTTTTTCAAAAATTCGATTTTGTTTTAATACGAAATGTTATATGGTAATAGCCTGGTTTGTTACAATATAAGTGACATGCCATGTCAGGATAAATGATATCATTTGAAGGCATGAGTGACATGATTTGATAGAACATATGCCATGTTGTGACAATATACGTTGCATGGTGTAACAGTAAATTTAATATGTGGTGACAGGGCGACAGAGAAATGGACTGGTTTGACATTTTGTGTCACATGATGCTGTGACAGTGCAAGTGAAAAGGTGACACAGAGTACGTGACGTGCTATGACAGTGTGTCACGTTGTGTCAGTGTCAGTGATGTGCTGTCAATGTATGTAAAAAAACAAACTGCAGAAACTGATGAACATATGAATTGAATTGAACCCACCTCTTTTGGCTCCCGAGGTGGCCTGTCAGATCGGTTCTGGAAAGATGAACAAAATTATAGATAATGAATTATAGTTTTTCTACTTCAATCAACCCATAGGTGCCAGAATGATCAATAAATTTGTCGTGGCCCCTTAATATTTAAAGGAAGAAGTAACCGTTGCATTTCTTCAACTCATCTCACTACGAACGCATGAAGCCACTCAAACCTCTATTGTAATTTCTAAATTAGTTAGGTTTTAAACTTCTATTTGAAGTTTGCACATGTGTGTGTGTAATTACGTATTTTTTAAAAAAATATGTATGTGTTGTGTTTGCATGCGAGTTAATACGGGGACCATAAAATGTTTGCATATTATTAGAGAAAATTGTGTAGCTCTGAAACATGCACTTTATTTCCACATTCTAATGTTGCTACGTGTTTACTTATTGCGTCTTCGTCTGGCATTGGTGAACGGGACTAAAACAAATAAAATAAAATAAATAACAAAAAAATATCTTCAGTCACAATCACTATTTTGTGAAATGTGCTAATGGATATATGTAAAATAGACTACATAAAAGTGTACTTTTTAGTTTCCCTTCCAGCTCATGGGTATTTTGGGATTATGGTTCACGTGGTGAAGATTATGCTTAATATGATTGGGAATATATTTCATGTGACAAAGATTATGTTTTACATGTCTGAATAACTTACCTCATTTTTGGGGCCATTATCCTCAGATTTCTGTTAGAAATAAGAAAAGCATGTAGTACAATCATAAATAAGGGAGACAAGTGGTTGGCTGTAGGGGATAGTTGAAATGATAGGAAATGGAAGCAACAACTAGCCGATAATCTGACAGAAACGAAAAAAAAAATGGGGACTGTGATTAACAGAAAATTGTTTTTTTAACCTCTTTATCTTTTTATAAATTTTAAACTGATAAAAAATGCACCCTGTGTATGAGTGATGAGCTACTTACGTTTCCAGATTCGTTGCCAGATCCTGCGCCACTTTGTCTTGTCTGAAAATGGAAGGAGATTGTTGTCGGTTAGCTTTACGTTGATTAAATATAAGCTCATAGACCAGTGTATAACAGATGGAATTGTATGCTGCAAAGGATCACTTGTAATAAGGATTATTGGTGTGTGCGTGGTTTGGGGGGGGGGGGGGGGGGGGGGGGGGAGACCCTTTAGGGGAAATGGGAATTTTTGCTTTTTAAAAAAAATAGGGGAATGACCAGTGTATAACAGATGGAATTGTATGCTGCAAAGGATCACTTGTAATAAGGATTATTGGTGTGTGCGTGGTTTGGGGGGGGGTGGGGGGTGGGAGATCCATTATCGGTAATAGGGATTATTGCCTTTTAAATAAAATACGGGAAAGTAGTTGGAGAGAACTTTTAAAGTTAACACATTTTTACTGTAATAGAAACACATTGTAGGCTTTTTGGATATCGAGGCCTTAACAGTTAGTGAAATAGGGATTAACAAGTAGTGAAATAGAAATGAAAAGGTAGTTAATAGAAATGAACAGGTAGTGAAATAGAGATTAACAGGTAGTGGGCCCTAATTATTTTATTTTGCATCTAGTTTCGCCTCTGATAATCTGTTTATTTTTTTCAAAAATTCGATTTTGTTTTAATACGAAATGTTATATGGTAATAGACTGGTTTGTGACAATGAAAGTGACATGTCATGTCAGGATAAATGATATGTTTTGAAGGCATGAGTGACATGATTTGATAGAACATATGCCATGTTGTGACAATATACGTTGCATGGTGTAACAGTAAATTTAATATGTTGTGAAAGGGCGACAGAGAAATGGTCTGGTTTGACATTTTGAGTCACATGATGCTGTGACAGTGCAAGTGACACAGAGTACGTGACGTGCTGTGACAGTGTGTCACGTTGTGTCAGTGAAGTTCGGTAAATGTATGTAAAAAAACAAACTGCAGAAACTGATAAACATATGAACTGAATCGAACCCACCACTTTTGGCTCCCGAGTTGGCTTGTCAGATCCGCTCTGGAAAGATGAACAAACTTATAGAGAATGAATTATAGTTTTACTTTTTTTATCAACCATAGGTGCCAGAATGATCAATAAAATTGTCGTGGCCCCTTAATATATCGACGAAGAAGTTATCGTTGCATTTCTTCAACTCATCTCACTACGAACGTTTGAAGACACTCAAACCACTATTTTAATGTCTAAATTAGTTAGTTTTTTGTGTATGTGTGTAAATATGTATTTTTTAATATTTTTTTAAAATATGTACGTGTTGTGTTGGAGTGCGAGTTAATTCTGGGACCATAAAATGTTTGCATATTATTAGAGGAAATTGTGTAGTTCTGAAATATCCACTTTATTTCCACATTCTAATGTTGCTACGTGTTTACTTATTGCGTCTTCGTCTGGCATTGGTGAACGGGACTAAAACAAATAAAATAAAATAAATAACAAAAAAATATCTTCAGTCACAATCACTATTTTGTGAAATGTGCTAATGGATATATGTAAAATAGACTACATAAAAGTGTACTTTTTAGTTTCCCTTCCAGCTCATGGGTATTTTGGGATTATGGTTCACGTGGTGAAGATTATGCTTAATATGATTGGGAATATATTTCATGTGACAAAGATTATGTTTTACATGTTTAAATAACTTACCTCATTTTTGGGGCCTTTACCATCAGGTCGCTGTAAGAAATAAGAAAAGCATGTAGTACAATCATAAATAAGGGAGAAAGTGGTTGGCTGTAGGGGGATATAGGAAGTGGTAGGAAGGGGAAGCAATGACTAGCCGAGAATCTGAACGAAACGAAAATAAAAAAAATGGGGACTGGGACTAACACAAAATAGTTTTTTTAACCTCTTTATCTTTTTATAAATTTTAAAACTGATGAAAAAACATCCTTTATATGAGTATCTACTCACGTTGCCAGATTCGTTGCCAGATGCGTTGCCAGATGCGTTGCCAGATGCGTTGCCATATCCTGCGCCACTTTGTCTTGACTGAAAATGGAAGAGATTGCTGTTGGTTAGCTTTACGTTGATTAAATATAAGCTCATAGACCATTGTTCAACAGCTGAAATTGTGCGCTGCAACGAGCCCTTGTGATATGGATTATTGGTGTGTGTGTGGGGGAAATCCATTATCGGAAATAGGAATTATTGCCTTTTGAATAAAATACGATAAAGTAGTCGGACAGAACATTTAAAATTAACACATTTTTACTGTAATATAAACACATTATATGCTTTTGGATCTTAAGGCCTTAAACGTTAGTGAAATAGAGATTAAAAAGTAGTGAAATAAAATTACAAGGTAATTAAATAGAAATGAACATGTAGTAAATAGAAATGAACAGGTAGTGAAATAGAGATAAACAGGTAGTGGGCCCTAATTTATCATAGTTTGCGTCTAGTTCCGCCTCTGATAATCTATTTATTTTTTTTCAAAAATTTGATTTTGTTTTAACACGACATGTTATATGGTAATAGCCTGGTTTGTGACATTATAAGTGACATGCCAAATCAGGATAAATAATATGTTTTGACAGCATGCGTGATAGGATTTGATAGAACATATGCCATGTTGTGACAATATACGTGGCATGGTGTAACAGTAAATTCAGTTTGCTGTGACAGGGCGAAAGAATAAATGCTCTGGTTTGACATTTTGAGTCACATGATGCTGTGACATTACAAGTGAAAAGGTAACACAGAGTACGTGACGTGATGTGACAGTGTGTCAATCAAGTGCTGTAAATGTATGTAAAAAAAAAACAAACTGAAGAAACTGATGAACATTTGAATTGAATGGAACCCACCTCTTTTTGCACCCGAGTTGGCTTGTCAGATCGGTTCTGGAAAGATGAACAGAGTTATAGATAATGAATTATAGCTTCTCTTCTTCTATCAACCCATACGAGAAAGAAAGATCAATAAATTTGTCTTGGCACCTTAATTTATAGTGGAAGAAGTATCCGTTGCATTTCTTCAACTTATCTCACTACGAACGCTTGAAGCCACTCAAACCTCTATTGTAATTTCTAAATTAGTTATTTTTGATAAACTTCTAATTTAAGTGTGCACATGTGTGTGTGTTATTATGTATTTTTTTTTAAAAAATATGTATGTGTTGTGTTTGAGTGCGAGTTAATTCTGGGACCATAAAATGTTCACATATTATTAGAGGAAATTGTGTAGTTCTGAAATATCCCCTTTATTTCCACATTCTAATGTTACTACCAGTTTACTTATTGCGTCTTCCTCTGGCATTGGTGAAAGGGACTAAAACAAAAACAAAAACTAAATAAAATTAGGATATCTTCAGTCACAATCTCTATTATGTGGAATGTGGTGATAGATGTATGTAAAATAGACTACACATAAGTGTACCTTTTTAGTTTCCCTTTCAGCTCATGGGTATCTTGGGATTATGGTTCACGTGATGAAGATTATGCTTAATATAATAGAGAATATATTTCATGTTACAGATATTTTGTTTTACATGTCTGAATAACTTACCTCATTTTTGGGGCCTTTACCTTTATGCCTCTGTAAGAAATAAGAAAACCATGAAGTACAATCATAAATAAGGGAGAAAGTGGTTAGCTGTAGGGATATAGGGGAAGTGGTAGGAACGGGAAAATGTAGGCAATGGAAGCAACGACTAGCCGATAATCTGACATAAACGAAAAAAAAAATGGGGACTCAGATTAAGAGAAAATTGTTTTTTTTAAAAACACTTTATCTTTTTATAAATTTTAAACTGGTAAAAAGACATCCTGTGTATAAGTGATGAGCTACTCACGTCACCAGATGCGTTGCCAGATGGTGCATCAGTTGGTCTTGACTGAAAATGAAAGAGATTGTTGTTGGTTAGCTTTACGTTGATTAAATATAAGCTCATAGACCAGTGTTCAACAGCTGGAATTGTACGCTGCAAAGGAGCGCTTGTAATAAGGATTATTTAGGTGTGCGTGGGGTGGGGGGTGGGGGGGGGGGAAATCCATTATGGGAAATAGGAATTATTGACTTTTAAATAAAATACGGGAAAGTAATGTGGGGATTGGAGGTTAGATGGGTGGTGTTGGGATGGTTGTGTAAAACCATTATCGGAAATAGGAATTATTGACTTTTAAATAAAATACGGGAAAGTAATCGGACAGAACATTTAATGTTAAAACATTAGAAACACATTATAGGCTTTTGGATCTCGAGGCCTTAACAGTTAGTGAAATAGAGATTAACAAGTAGTGAAATAGAAATGAACAGGTCGTGAATAGAAATGAACAGATAGTGAAATAGAGATTAAGAGGTAGTGAAATAGAGATGAGCAGGTAGTGAAATATAGATTAACAGGTAGTGGGCCCTAATTTATTATATTTTGCATCTAGTTTCGCCTCTGATAATCTGTTTAGTTTTTTTTCAAAAATTGGATTTTGTTTTAATACGACATGTTATATGGTAATAGCCTGGTTTGTGACAATATAAGTGACATGCCATGTCAGGATAAATGATATATTTTGAAAGCATGAGTGGCATGATTAGATAGAACTTATGCGATGTTGTCACAAAATACGTGGCATGGTGTAACAGTAAATTCAATATGTTGTGACAGGGAGACAGAGAAATGCTCTGTTTTGAAATTTTGAGTCATATGATGCTGTGGCATTGCAAGTGAAATGGTGACACAGAGTACGTGACGTGCTGTTTCAGTGTGTCACGTTGTGTCAGTGAAGTTCTGTAAATGTATGTACAAAAACAAACTGCAGAAACTGATAAACATATGAACTGAATCGAACCCACCACTTTTGGCTCCCGAGTTGGCTTGTCAGATCGGTTCTGGAAAGATGAACAAAGTTATAGATAATGAATTATAGTTTTTCTACTTCTATCAAACCATAGGAGCCAGAATGATCAATAAATTTGTCGTGGCCCTTTATATTATGAGGTTCTTCAACTAATCTCACTACGAACGCTTGAAACCACTCAAACCTCTATTGTAATTTATAAATTATTTAGTTTTTTAAAACTTCAAATTTAAGTGTGCACATGTGTGTGTTTAATTATGTATTTTTGTTTTGTTTTTTTAATATGTATGTGTTGTGTTTGAGTGCGAGTTAATTCTGGGACCATAAAATGTTTGCATATTATAAGAGGAAATGTTGTAGCACTGAAACATCCACTTTATTTCCATATTCTAATGTTACTAAGTGTTTACTTATTGCGTCTTCGTCTGGCATTGGTGAACGGGACTAAAACAAAAAACAATAACTAAATAAAACTAGAATATCTTCAGTCACAATCTCTATTATGTGAAATGAGGTAATATATATATGAAACATAGACTACATAAAAGTGTAATTTTTAGTTTCCCTTCCAGCTCATGGGTATTTTTGGATTATGGTTCACGTGGTGAAGATTTTGCTTAATATGATAGGGAATATATTTCATGTGACAAAGATTATGTTTTACATGTCTGAATAACTTACCTCATTTTTGGGGCCTTTATCCTCAGGTTTCTGTTAGAAATAAGAAAAGCATGTAGTACAATCATAAATAAGGGAGAAAAGTGGTTGGCTGTAGGAGGATAGAGGAAGTGGTAGGAAATAGAAGCAACGACTAGCCGAGAATCTGACAGAAACGAAAAACAAAATGTTGACTGGGATTTGCCTTGGTGAACGGGAGTAAAAGAAAAAAAAAATAAATAGAAAAGAATATCTTCAGTCACAATCTCTATTATGTGGCATGTGGTAATAGATATATGAAACATAGACTACATAAAAGTGTAATTTTTAGTTTCCCTTCCAGCTCATGCTTATTTTGGGATTATGATTCACATGGTGAAGATTTTGCTTAATATGATAGGGAATATATTTCATGTGACAAAGATTATGTTTTACATGTCTGAATAACTTACCTCATTTTTGGGGCCTTTACCCTCAGGTTTCTGTTAGAAATAAGAAAAGCATGTAGTACAATCATAAATAAGGGAGAAAAGTGGTTGGCTTGTAGGAGGATAGAGGAAGTGGTAGGAAATGGAAGCAACCACTAGCCGAGAATCTGACAGAAACGAAAAAAAAATTGGGGACTGGGACTTGCCTTGGTGAGCGGGAATAAACTAAAAAAAAAGAAAAAAATATCTTCAGTCACAATCTCTATTATGTGGCATGTGGTAATAGATATATGAAACATAGGCTATATAAAAGTGTAATTTTTAGTTTCCCTTCCAGCTCATGGATATTTTGGGATTATGGTTCACGTGGTGAAGATTTTGCTTATGATAGATAGGGAATAAATTTCGTTTGACAAAGATTGTTTTTTACATGTCTGAATAACTTACCTCATTTTTGGGGCCTTTATCCTCAGATTTCTGTTAGAAATAAGAAAAGCATGTAGTACAATCATAAATAAGGGAGAAAAGTGGTTGGCTGTAGGAGGATAGAGGAAGTGGTAGGAAATAAAGCAATTACTTGCCGAGAATCTGACAGAAAAACAAAATGTGGACTGGGATTTGCCTTGGTGAACGAGAGTAAAAGAAAAAAAAAATAAATAGAAAAGAATATCTTCAGTCACAATCTCTATTATGTGGCATGTGGTATTATATAAACGAAACATAGACTACATAAAGTGTACTTTTTAGTTTCCCTTCCAGCTCATGGATATTTTGGGATTATGGTTCACGTGTTGAAGATTTTGCTTAATATGATAGGGAATATATTTCATGTGACAAAGATTATGTTTTACATGTTTGAATAACTTACCTCATTTTTGGGGCCTTTATCCTCAGATTTCTGTTAGAAATAAGAAAAGCATGTAGTACAATCATAAATAAGGGAGAAAAGTGGTTGGCTGTAGGAGGATAGAGGAAGTGGTAGGAAATGGAAGCAACGACTAGCCGAGAATCTGACAGAAACGAAAAAAAAAATGGGGACTGGGACTTGCCTTGGTGAACGGGAGTAAAAGAAAAAAAATTAAATAAAAAAGAATATATTCAGTCACAATCTCTATTGTGTGGCATGTGGTAATAGATATATGAAACATAGACTACATAAAAGTGTAATTTTTAGTTTCCCTTCCAGCTCATAGATATTTTGGGATTATAGTTCACATTGTGAAGAATTTGCTTAATATTATAGGGAATATATTTCATGTGACAAAGATTATGTTTTACATGTCTGAATAACTAACCTCATTTTTGGGGCCTTTACCCTCAGATTTCTGTTAGAAATAAGAAAAGCATGTAGTACAATCATAAATAAGGGAGAAAAGTGGTTTGCTTGTAGGAGGATAGAGGAAGTGGTAGGAAATAGAAGCAACGACTAGCCAAGAATCAGAAAGAAACGAAAAAAATGGGGAATGGGACTTGCCTTGGTGAACGGGAGTAAAAGAAAAAAAAAATAAATAGAAGAGAATATCTTCAGTCACAATCTCTAATATGTGGCATGTGGTAATAGATATATGAAACATAGACTATATAAAAGTGTAATTTTTAGTTTCCCTTCCAGCCCATGGATATTTTGGGATTATGGTTCACGTGGTTAAGATTTTGCTTAATATGATAGGGAATATATTTCATGTGACAAAGATTATGTTTTACATGTTTGAATAACTTACCTCATTTTTGGGGCCTTTACCCTCAGGTTTCTGTTAGAAATAAGAAAAGCATGTAGTACAATCATAAATAAGGGAGAAAAGTGGTTGGCTGTAGGAGGATAGAGGAAGTGGTAGGAAATAGAAGCAACGACTAGCCGAGAATCTGACAGAAACGAAAAACAAAATGTGGACTTCGATTTGCCTTGGTGAACAGGAGTAAAAGAAAAAAAATAAATAAAAAATAATATCATCAGTCACAATCTCTATTATGTGGCATGTCGTAATAAATATATGAAACATAGACTACATAAAAGTGTAATTTTTAGTTGCCCTTCCAGCTCATGGATATTTTGGGATTATGGTTCACGTGGTGAAGATTTTGCTTAATATGATAGGGAATATATTTCATGTGACAAAGATTATGTTTTACATGTTTGAATAACTTACCTCATTTTTTGGGCCTTTACCCTCAGGTTTCTTTTAGAAATAAGAAAAGCATGTAGTACAATCATAAATAAGGGAGAAAAGTGGTTGGCTGTAGGAGGATAGAGGAAGTGGTTGTCAACTCCTACACGTCTTCTGGATTGATTACATTCGTCAGTTCTTTCATACGTTGAAGCGTCGTACTATTCTAACTATCAATTAACAAACTCAACTCCTTTTCATAATAACTATAACTTTAATATCTAAGTAAATATAATAAACATCCTATCACTCCAAGGTTCCACTCAAGACTGCCGCACGACTACAACATACGTCACAACACTGCATAGACAATACGTCATAAATACAATGGCGGGAAGAGCGTTCACTAACTATAATAGTCAAGCGCGGGAAACACGTTCAACAACTAATGAACATAATATTGAGTCGCAACAATTCCTAATGAACGCTCATACTCGACATATCCCCCCTCTTTCATTTCAGATTTTACTCAGGGAGTGAAATCGTCACCAGACATACAAAATTTACATCAATTACATCAAGAAGAACCCTTCAGCCATATGAATGGTCCTTATCAAAAAACATTATTTAGGTATCACTGAAAATCAAACAGATTTATGATATACTGCAATAAAATAAACAATCCTTCGTACATAATTTTAAATGCAATTCAAGAGTTAAAAATTCATGTACCACAATAAAAATCAGACCATTAAAATTGAATGTCAACATTAATTTTCATTTTTCATACCAATAAAAATAATTATATTTGTATCTCAAAAATCCGGGCAAATACATCAATATCCTTACTGAAGTTGAAACTATAACTAAGTTAATCCAAATCATATCATCAAAAAGGTGTATTTTTAAATAAAACCAATGGTCATCACTATAGAAACACAAAACTATCTAACATTATTACAGGTGAGAGATGTCTCACCACAATTTGAGCAGCCTTTATTTGCTCTTAAATAACACAGCTACAGATGGCGGGACATATCTTTTGTCCGTGGATTTCACAACTTTATGCTTCAACATGTTTATTATAATTAAAATTATCTCTCCCTGTTCTTTTGACCCGTGGTCATAACTCATGTGAAACCTCAGTTTTACAATACATATTTTTAAATTGTTATAAAATGAAAAACGATTCTCATAAAAAAGAAATTCAAACAAATCAGGAACTTCAAAGAAATCATGGCAACAGTTCATTTTAACAGATTCATTTTGTTTAACAATACAATTAAAAGCCTCACCTCCCAACTCATGGACCTGACAACTCACCTCCTCTTGAAAATCATAAACAAGTGCACCTTTAGAGCTGGCAGCGCTCTCTTTAACACTTTCAACATTGGTTTCCAACTTAATGTTAGAGCACTCCTGGCTCTCAAAATCTGGACAACCTTCACTCACATTACTTGGGAATTTATTTTCATTACAGCTATCTGTAACAATATGTGAATTTGAGCAGCCCTGGCTCACATTTACAGGTGATTCATTATCATTACAACTATCCGTAACAATATGAAAATTTGAGCAGCCCTGGCTCACATTTACAGGTGATTCATTATCATTACAGCTATCCGTAACAATATGAAAATCTGAGCAGCCCTGGCTCACACTACCTATTGATTCATCATCAATACAGCTCTCTGTAATACTATAAAATTTTGAGCAACCCTTGCTCATAACAACTTGTGATACATTTTCATTGCAGATCTCTGCAGTAACATCAAAACCTGAGCACACCTGGCTCACATTATCAACTAATTCATATTCATTACCAGTACATATCTCTGTAAAAATATCAACATTTGAGCAACCTTTGCTCACATTACACAGTGACTCATTTACATCACAATAATTATCAACAACAATTTTCTCTCCTTCCCCCACCTCAGGGATTACACTCACCTCATCAACCTCACACAAAAAATCAGGCACTTCAACTTCAGGACTTACATTATCTGATGGCTCACCATGAGATACAACAAAAATCATGTCCTCAGACATTAGAACAGGGTTCTCTTTGATTTCAATGCCGCCCGTTTCCATAACAACCAATTCATTACATGCTGTGGCGCTGGGACAATCCCCTACATATGTCCACCTAAGGTCATTTCCAATGACTTCTACCTTATTAAATTGTCGTCCCCTTTCTTCTTTACATTGGACTTCCTGGGATACACCAACTACTTCAACCTCGTTTTGACATGAATCTAAAGCTATATCTGTACCCTTTGCCACTGGGGGTATGTCAGCACGGTCAACGTTGTCCCTTTTAACGTTAGCCGACGGATCAATTAACAAATCACTGTCATTTCTATTTAAAAAAATTGAGTCGTCAGCAGAGGCAATAATATCATTTTGTTCCTCAGTATCTTTAGCCATGAACCGTGGTTGCGAGGCCGGCTCTTGCCTGGGGTCAGGATCATGAGTATGTCCACCGTTATCCACATATTTGTTTTCACTTACATTAATAGAAACTCTATTAAAATTTTTATAGGGATTCTCACAGTGAATGCTGGCAATGCCATAATATATTTCTTCCCCCTCACTCTCGTCATCGTCACTGTCGCTATAATAATATGCCTGTCTCTTTAAAATAATTTCCCGTCGTTCTGCCTCTAATTCCGCCAGTCTAATTTTTTCATCTAGTTTATCTAGTTCAAATTGTCTCTCTCTCTGTGTATCTCTTTCTATACGATCTTCCTCTCTCTGTCTATCTATACGTTCTTTCTCTCTGGCTCTAAGTTCTTCCTCTCTCTGTCTATCTATACGTTCATTCTCTCTCTGTCTATATATACGTTCTTCCTCTCTCTTTCTATCTATACGTTCTTCCTCTCTGGCTCTAAGTTCATCCTCTCTGGCTCTAAGTTCATCCTCTCTCTCTTCCCGTACGTGTTCTTCGAACTTAACTCTTATATACTCCTCTAGGTTCTCTCCGGTATAACAAAGTAACACACCCACATGCCTTATTTCTTCTAAACTCCATTTCCTACTGACATATCCAGCCATATCAATGCAAATTAAGGGTGATCATACAGTAAACAATAATTAAGTTTCAAGGACCAATCGCTGTCTACTAACTCTAGCAAAAATCTAAATTCTACCCAGGTAAAAAAAATGTTAATACATCAGTCATAAGAAAATTAATGCCAAAAATGTTTTAAACAATAAAAATCCAACTTGCCTGGTTCGTGGAAAGTCCTAAAGAATCTAAATATTATTCAAAACACACACTGGGCTTAATTAAGTGTCAATGGTTCTTTACTGTCAATAGTTCTCTCACAAACTTCAATTGTCCTATATGGCCATCTTGGGACACAGTCATTGAGGTGTGGGTGACCGGGACGGGTCACGGGACATCGGTAGTTCACTGGACAGAATGTAGGCGAATCGACGACACTGGACAGTTCGTGGGTAACTCACCAATACAGGATCGGGCATGTGCAGCTTGATGCAGGACGGGACGTTGGTGGCTCGTTGAAGCAGGACAGGGCGCTGTTCAACTGGGTGACCGGGACGGGTCACGGGACATCGGCAGCTCACTGGACAGAATGTAGGCGTATCGCCGACACTGGACAGTTCGTGGGTAACTCACCAATACAGGATCGGGCATAGGAAGCTTGATGCGGGGTGGGACTTTGGTGGCTCGTTGCAACAGGACAGGGCGTTGTTAAACTGAGTGACCGGACAGGCCACAGGACTTCACAGCTCACTGGACACGAAGTTGGTAGCTCACTACCGACAGGACGTAGATAACTCGATACAGGGAAATGCGTAGTTCATTCACTGGAACTCAACTGGACGTTGGCGACTTGACGAAGGTCAGGGCTGGGTATTTCACTGGAACTGAACACGAATTTGGTAGCTCACTACCGAAGGAACGTAGATAACTCGATACGTGGAGGGGCGTAGTTAACTCACTGGAACTGAACAGGACGTTGGCAACTTGATAACGGACAGTGCGTAGTTAATTCGCTGTAACTGGACACGACATTAATAACTTCATACATAGCAGGACGTAATTATTTCACTGGAACTGACACGAGGTTAGTGACTTGATAACGGGCAGGACGTAGTTAATCACTGGAACTGGACAGGACGTTGGCAACTTGATAACGGGCAGGGCGTAGTTAATTTGCTGTAACTGGACACGACATTGGTAACTTCATACAGGGCAGGACGTAGTTATTTCACTGGAACTGAACAGGACGTTGGCAACTTGATAACGGACAAGGCGTAGTTAATTTGCTGTAACTGGACACGACATTGTTAACTTCATACAGGGCAGGGCGTAGTTAATTTGCAGTAACTGGACACGACATTGCTAACTTCATACAGAGCAGGACGTAATTATTTCACTGGAACTGAACAGGACGTTGGCAACTTGATAACGGGCAGGGCGTAGTTAATTTGCTGTAACTGGACACGACATTGGTAACTTCATACAGGGCAGGGCGTAGTTAATTTCACTGGAACTGAACACACGGTGGCAGCGGGGCTCGGACATTGAAATACGGGAACATGCGACGATTGTTGTAACTTCACTAAAGTTGAATAGTAAGGAGAAAAGTGGTTGGCTGTAGGAGGATAGAGGAAGTGGTAGGAAATAGAAGCAACGACTAGCCGAGAATCTGACAGAAACGAAAAAAAAAATGTGGACTGGGACTTGCCTTGGTGAACAGGAGTAAAAGAAAAAAAATAAATACAAAAGAATATCTTCAGTCACAATCTCTATTATGTGGCATCTGGTAATAGATATATGAAACATAGACTACAAAAAAGTGTAATTTTTAGTATCCCTTCCAGCTCATGGATATCTTGAGATTATGGTTCACGTGGTGAAGATTTTGCTTAATATGATAGGGAATATATTTCATGTGACAAAGATTATGTTTTACATGTCTGAATAACTTACCTCATTTTTGGGGCCTTTATCCTCAGATTTCTGTTAGAAATAAGAAAAGCATGTAGTACAATCATAAATAAGGGAGACAAGTGGTTGGCTGTAGGAGGATAGAGGAAGTGGTAGGAAATGGAAGCAAGGACTAGCCGAGAATCTGACAGAAACGAAAAAAAATGTGGACTTGGACTTGCCTTTGTGAACGGGAGTAAAAGAAAAAAATATCTTCAGTCACAATCTCTATAATGTGGCATGTCGTAATAGATATATGAAACATAGACTACATAAATTTGTAATTTTTAGTTTCCGTTCCAGCTCATGGATATTTTGGGATTATGGTTCACGTGGTGAAGATTTTGCTTAATATGATAGGGAATATATTTCATGTGACAAAGATTATGTTTTACATGTCTGAATAACTTACCTCATTTTTGGGGCCTTTATCCTCAGATTTCTGTTAGAAATATGAAAAGCATGTAGTACAATCATAAATAAGGGAGAAAAGTGGTTTGCTGTAGGAGGATAGAGGAAGTGGTAGGAAATAGAAGCAACGACTAGCCGAGAATCTGACAGAAACGAAAAAAAAAATGGGGACTGGGACTTGCCTTGGTGAACAGGAGTAAAAGAAAAAAAATAAATACAAAAGAATATCTTCAGTCACAATCTCTATTATGTGGCATCTGGTAATAGATATATGAAACATAGACTACAAAAAAGTGTAATTTTTAGTTTCCCTTCCAGCTCATGGATATTTTGGGATTATGGTTCACGTGGTGAAGATTTTGTTTAATATGATAGGGAATATATTTCATGTGACAAAGATTATGTTTTACATGTCTGAATAACTTACCTCATTTTTGGGGCCTTTATCCTCAGGTTTCTGTTAGAAATAAGAAAAGCATGTAGTAAAATCATAAATAAGGGAGACAAGTGGTTGGCTGTAGGAGGATAGAGGAAGTGGTAGGAAAGTGAAGCAACGACTAGCCGAGAATCTGACAGAAACGAAATAAAAAAATGTGGACTGAAACTTGCCTTGGTGAACGGGAGGAAAAGAAAAAAAAATAATTGAAAAGAATATCTTCAGTCACAATCTCTATTGTGTGGTATGTGGTAAAATATATATGAACAATAAACTACATATAAGTGTTCCTTTTAGTTTGCCTTCCAGTGATATTAAATTAGATTGCCGTAAAATCGCGTAGAGATTTCACGACAAGGGGCTTCATGCAAGGGTTATTGTAACTGCATTGAAAAAAAAAGATATTCTAATTCTTTTTTGTTGAGCAATTAATTGCTTTTATAAATAAAGTTCTCAATGACCCTAAGGTTTTTAAAATAACTCTCCCTCCCTCCACCCCCTCTCTCTCTCTTTCTGCCCCCATGTGTCTCTTTCTCTCTCTGTGTATACATATATATCCATACATATATATTGATTCGACCTATAACCTGTCTAACACGAGCCACGGCTGCGTACAGATGTGTTCAATGTCGTAACTTCATGAAAATTATGACGACACTTAAGACAGCGGGTCTCAACCATTTGGTAGTCCCACGACCCTTTCACAGGGGTCGCCCAAGACCATCGAAAAACACATGCACTCAACAGTTATAAAGTATCAACGAAAATAATTTTGTGGTCGGGGTTCGCCACAACATGAGGAACTGTATTAAAGGGTCGCGGCATCAGAAAGTTTGAGAACCGCTGTCTTAAGACATTACCAAAATGACAAGACGTATCCAATGAAATATTTTATAACTTAAGCTGAAACTGACTTCTTTTCAAACTTCTATTAAAAGCAAAATAAATAAATAAGCTAAAATAAAAATAATAAAACAACTCGAATAACAACCATTTTAAAAGCAAATCTGTAAAGCATCTTGCCATTCTTGTTTATTATATGATGGTTATTAAAAAAAAAATCCGCATATTACATAAAAGCATGAAAATATAATGACACGTTCTCATTCAAATGTTCTTTCTGTAGCTTCATGAGCGACTGGAGTTTTGTTTCATCAACCAAAGGATTGGTCTTTATAACTAAAGCTGGAAATTAACACTTACTGAGTCTCCCATTTCCCCTAAAGTCTACACCCGATAAAACGTTCTGTGTCTCCCATTTCCCCTAAAGTCTACACCCGATAACACGTTCTGTGTCTCCCATTTCCCCTATAGTCTACACCCGATAACACTTACTGAGTCTCCCATTTCCCTTACAGTCTACACCCGACAATACTTACTGGTGCGGCATTAACAGTGCAGATCACTACTAGAAGTGCAAGGCCAAGCGCAAAGGTTAGTTTAGCAACCATTTTTTTATTTTAAATATCTGAATGGAGGAAAACAATGTTTGTTTTAAATCATCGACAATATAACAAACAGTTTGTAATGTTTAGAAATACAAGCTGATATTTGTGTGATATATATCAAACTTTCTGTAAAATGGATTATTCAGGAAGACTACATTGTACCAAATAGAAATTAATCAAAATGTAAGCAAACATCGTAACAATTTAACCTCCCCCACCCCCCCCAAAAGTCGAAGTTTTCTGGTAACTATTGCAAGTGATCAAGCCGTAGACTGACATTTTAACACGTGAGCTGATAGGTTTTGCAATTTGTGAAACTTTAAATGAATGGCACGGGAAGAGAGCTATTCCTTAATGTTGCACTTCCTGGGGTTAGTGCTGTACAGTGACTGATTATTTTAATATCTTGATATGCCATGTCAGTATTATATTGAATTTGCATTGAAATAAATACTTCAGCTTTTTTTTTCTTCATAAAATTTAAAAAAAAACAAAAATTTATTTAACTATTTTAGAAGTTTATTTTAAAGCTGGAATCTTATCATATTTTAAGTTTTGGCTAAGGCTAATTTTAAATAACGGAAATTATATTAAAATTGAATATTATTTTAGTTTTACACTGTGATCCCAAAGCTACGTGATGAGTCATAGCTAGAAATTTACTGATGATTTAGAATAACCGTACATTATGAACATTATTGTTCACAGGAACATCGATTGTTTTAAAAAAACAACTAAATAACAAAACAATTTACCACAACAAATAAATAAATAGAATTACACATATATATTTATAAATATAAATATATATTAGGTCCTCAGGACTAAGGGCACAACTTGAGAACATACTCACCTCTGTAGACGGGTAGAAGGTCGAAGTCTCCGTCGGTTGTCGTGGGTGAGGTGACGTCTGCCTCACCCAGCACCTGTATATATACCGCTGGCTGGCAATGACGCAGCATGAGATCGTGGCACGAGTCGTGCTGGGCACAACAATGGGACATTCCATATTGAATTTCCCCATCTTTTGGACCAGCCATCGGTCGCGTGAAGACGTCCACGAACGGTGTCAGTGGCGATCACGCAGAGGGATTCGGGTCATTGATCTTAATGCAACGGTTCTCATTTTATGTTTCTACCTTCAGAAACCTTTTCTTTCCCCCTCGAGATATGTGTCATTTAACATAATTAATTTGGAAGCAAATATGTATGGATAATAAATAAACTGTGTGGACCGATGTATCTATAAGCGATTTATAATCAAATACATATGGGATACAATTTCAAATGTTTCCTTACTAGTGATTTAAAAAAAATATAAATCTTTTAACGATTATAAATCACAATCACATTGTCCCATCCTCGGGGCCATTTAAAGGTTTGGAGCGAAAAAGTGGGGGGGGGGGTGGGTGGGTGGGGGGGTGCATCCACTAAGGGCGCCATTTTCAGAATGAACCAAAATAGTCTTTTCATGCTTAAATCTTTTAACGATTATAAATCACAATCACATTGTCCCATCCTCGGGGCCATTTAAAGGTTTGGAGCGAAAAAGTGGGAGGGGGGGGGTGGGTGGGTGGGGGGATGCATCCACTAAGGGCGCCATTTTCAGAATGAACCAAAATAGTCTTTTCATGCAAAGTATGTGCATTATTATTTCGATTACTTAGACACAAACATATAGTTTAAATAAAACAATATAAGTTCAGCAGTAATAATGATCACGCAGAATACAAATTTCAACGTTTCGACAAATGCCTTCAACAGCAACCGTAAATTCATATAAGTATAAATTAAATTGACATAGTGTGTGTATAATTAGATGTATCCTACCTAACTGGGGGAATCTGACTGAACGCCCCTAAGTCAGGGATCCGCACCGCGGAGGCGACTTGGTGGTGTCACATGGGGTTCGCCTCCTCGTGGCATGCCAGACCAGTAGGGAGGTTTTGTCCTCCCGAAGCCAAAAACACCGGCCCACGTGCATGACTCCCAACGCAATGGAAGTAACGCAATAACATAATTATGTTGCCGTTAATGGATATGAGATCTGGGTGGCGGTTAAAACGCACACCGATGATTTGAGCTACGCGGTGCTGAGAAAGCCGCTCCTAGGCGACCGTTTCGTCCCAGCTTCCATCCCGACTGGAGACCCCCTGGACGGTGGGGATACGTAACGCAACACCTTTCCCCCGGAGTGGAAGCACCCACGAGAGAGTGGACCGCGAACGCTTTAAACATGGCGTTTGCAGTCGACCGGACGACCCACAGGCCAGTTGGGAGGTTCCCGGCTTGCTTCCGCACGGTATTGCTGCGGGGAGACCCGGCGTCTGTCCCGTGTGGAGGTGTGCCGGTGGGGTACTAACAGTCAAAGTAGAAACAAGTCACATTATCACCATCTCAAAGTAGAACCAAGTCACAGTATCACCAACTCAAAGTATCACCAAGTCACAGTATCACCAACTCAAAGTAGAACCAAGTCACAGTACCACCAAATCAAAGTATCACCAAGTCACAGTATAACCAATTCAAAGAAGAACCAAGTCACAGTATCATCAAGTCAAAGTAGGATCAAGTCACAGTATCACCAACTCAAAGTAGAACCAAGTCACAGTATCACCAACTCAAAGTAGAACCAAGTCACAGTATCACCAACTCAAAGTAGAACCAAGTCACATTATCACCAAGTCACAGTGTAACCAAGTAACAGTATCACCAACTCAAAGTAGAACCAAGTCACATTATCACCAAGTCACAGTGTAACCAAGTAACAGTATCACCAACTCAAAGTAGAACCAAGTCACAGTATCACCAAGTCAAGGTAGAACCAAGTTACAGTATCACCAAGTCAAGGTAGAACCAAGTCACAGTATCACCAAGTCAAAGTAGAACCGAGTCACAGTATCACCAAGCCAAAGTAGAACCAAGTCACAGTATCACCAAGTCACAGTATCACCGAGTCACAGTATCACCAAGTCAAAGTAGAACCAAGTCACAGTATCACCAAGTCACAGTTTCACCAAGTCAAAGTAGAACCAAGTCACAGCACCACCAGCTACTAAATTTAAAGGTGGGATTAGATACGGTTAAAAACATTATTTCTTTATTTATAATTGTTACCGGCAGGTCTAGTTTTAATGAACAGTTTACCAATGTTTAACAACGATTTTACCAAGATATTACCTTTATTTTAAAACTTTTTACCAATATTTAACAACTATTTTACCAATATTTTACCAATATTTTACAAATTTTGAACAGCAATTTTACCAATAATTAACATCCATTTTACTAATATTTACAACTTTTTTACTGATATTTAACATGTATTTACCAATAAGATTAGCAAAAATGCCAGGAACTTGACGCTGTTTGTTAAAACAACCCTTAAATTTATAATTGTCTGGTCACTGGTATATTCGAAACTAAATGTAACATTTAAATGTAGACTACGTCACAATTTTGTGGAATTTTAACAGAAATGAACTTATTTCAGTTTCGCTTAAAATGTATGACCAAGTGCTGACCGGTGGGTCTTGGTAGGTCGTGTTAGTTCCACCGCTGACTAAGCGGCGTGTACTTGTGCCATGTTACAAACTATCAACAAGAAAAGCACAAAAGAAAAAAAAAGGGGAGAGGGGTGGTTGGTGGGTTGTACGTCATGGTTCATAGAACTCATATACCGGGTCACCTGAAACTTGAAGTCATTCAGACCCAAGTCAGAACTGTTTCTTGTCGTTAAATGTTTCTTTGTTGAGATGACCACGATTCGACTTAGTTTATTACGTACGTATTTGTTTTCTATCAAATCCATTTGTTGAAATAATTTAAAAAAACATATTTTTGTGTCTTCGAAATCAATGCAGCAAGGTCTGAATGTCTTGTAAAACAGTACAACGTCTGCAGTCTCGTCTGACTTGAGGTCTGTAGTGTTGTCTGACTGATGGTCGGTAGTGTTGTCTGACTGATGGTCTGCAATGTAGTCTGACTGATGGTCTGGAGTATTGTATGACTGATGGTCTGTAGGGTAGTCTGACTAATGGTCTGCAGTGTTGTCTGACTGATGGTCTGCAGTTTTTTCTGAATGATGGTGTGCATTTTAATCTGACTGATTGTCTACAGCAGGCCAGCACAACATACGATCCGCAGGCCGCATGCGGCCCGCTAGCACCCTCTTTGCGGCCCGCGAAGTAACGAAATAGTCTTTATTATTATTTTTTCTTTACATCTTTCCCCCCTGTCCTATTGTCTTTTTGCCCGCACACTTTTCTCATAAAGTATTACGGCCTGCTATACATTTTGAGTTGTGCAGGCCTGATCTACAGCGTTGTCTGACTGATGTTCTACAGTGTTGTCTGACTGATGTTCTACAGTGTTGTCTGACTGATGGTCTACAGTGTTGTCTGACTGATGTTCTACAGTGTTGTCTGACTGATGGTCTACAGTGTTGTCTGACTGATGGTCTACAGTGTTGTCTGACTGATGGTCTACAGTGTTGTCTGACTGATGGTCTACAGTGTTGTCTGACTGATGGTCTACATTGTTGTCTGGCTGATGGTCTACAGTTTTGTCTGACTGATGGTCTACAGTGTTGTCTGACTGATGGTCTACAGTGTTGTCTGACTGATGGTCTTCAGCGTTGTCTGACTGATGGTCTACAGTGTTCAATCAACCTAACGTTGAAAAGCAAAAAAAAAAGTATATGAACTCTACAAACACAATGTTTATACCTTTTACAATAATTTCTTTTGTTAGCTTGGACTTTTGAGAAAACTTCATTTTATTCCAAAGTTCATAGTCAACACCCCGGAGTGCCTTCAACAACCTTGTAGTGCCGCCAACAATCTCGTAGTGCCGCCAAAAACCTCACACTGCTGCCAAGGACCTCGTAATTCCATCGACAACACCGTATTGCCGTCAACAAACTCACAGTGCAGGCAACAAGCTCAACATGACCAACGAAATAGATAATTAGTAGCAGTGTCCTATCTGAATGCCCTAAACTTGTCTCTACAATGTGTCTATTGATTTATTGAATATGTTTAATGCCGCTGTGCAAGGAGGTCATTAGTAGCAGTGTCCTATCTGAATGCCCTAAACTTGTCTCTACAATGTGTCTATTGATTTATTGAATATGTTTAATGCCGCCGGGCAAGGAGGTCACACTGCTGTTTTACGTAATGGGGGAACCTCCACTCACGTGAAACATTTAGAAATATAAAACACAATAACCATTGAGTAGCTCAACTCTAATGGAATTTCTTCACAAATTATTTTGATGCACACTATTTCATTTGCTAAAAATTCGTAACAGAAACATTTATCCTATTTTACTGAATTCCCAAAAATCTGCAATAAATTGACCCCCCCCCCCCAAAAAAAATGCTTTAGTCATTATAACATTTAATTTGTCTTAAAAAAAAATAATTCTGTAAAATTTAAAAACAAATAAGATTTTGAAACAGAGCATATTGACGCTCTCCTCGAACAAGTTGTTTGAACCAGGTCGCATCTAGCTCCATAAATCGAGTAAATTGTCTGAGGAGAGAAAAAACATGCTAACTATAACAGCTCCATATTTACAGATGTATTAATATACATATATATTGTTTCGTTATCTTAAGTATTATGATGATGATTTTTGATGTCATGCGCAGAGAGAGAGAGAGAGAGAGAGAGAGAGAGAGAGAGAGAGAGAGAGAGCGAGGTAGGAAGTAGTTTTGATGAAAAATCTCTATTGAACATGGAGATGTCTAGTAGGAATGTACTCTAGCATTGTGTTAAAATTATATCAAATCGAATCGGAACAGCTATCTTGCATCTGTTTGGATTATAAAAGTGTATGAAGCATATGGTTTTATGGTAATTATTTTATTCCAATTAGAATACCTATTTTTTTTTAGTTAATTATAAATCTTCAGTGTGAATAAAAGTTAATGGTGAT